AATCTATATCTTTAGGAGAACTGACATCTTTTCAACTGAGCCTTCTGATTAGTGAAGGTGTTCTGTCTACCTGTCATGAGCCACTGGGAAATATGAATGCTAAATCTGCACTTAAACCACAGACAGATGGTCATGTGTAGGTCTATTCTCTTGGTCTTTCTTGCCAAGATTTTTTTCCCTGTTGCTTTTAAATTTTTTTAAATTATTTATTTATGGGCTGGGGAGATGGCTCAGTGGAATAAGCACTTCCCTGGCAAGTGCAAGGGCCTGAGTTCAATCCCTAGTTCTGAAAAAAAAAATCCAAAAATATTTATTTATTTGGTATAGGGTCTCGCCATGCAGCTCACACTCGTAGTGATCCTCCTGTCTTAGCCTCTGCAGTGCTGGGATTACAGGTGTGCACCACCACATCTGGTTTTATTGGCTAACCTGGTGGACCCAGAGTTCCAGGACTGGCATGGTATATAGTACCCGGGATCAAACCTGGGTCCTTGCCAAGCAGGTGCTTAGACCGCTGAGCTATCTCCCCAGCCCTCCCCCACTGTTTCGTGTCTTTGTTTTTCTCTATTAATCAGCAATTTGCTGAATGTGCCCTTTATGAGTTGCATCTATCCCTTTGAGGAATGTGTCAAGGGAATGAAAAATTAAGTGACAAGAAAATTCATCCACACATTGACTGAGCCCCTGGTTCCCAGGTGGCCCTGTTACTCACAGAGCCCAGGCCTTCATTTCTGGACAGCACCCTGATGGCTTGCTCAGGGCCCTCCTGCTGGAGTCTGGGAAGTGCTCGGGAACGCTGTAATTTCTTCTATCAAGGTGTTTCAGATTAAGGGAATTAACACTGAGATAGAATTTCTCAGGATGCTGAGACTCCTTTAAAGACCTAAGAAAGGTTCAAAAAAGAACACTTAGATACAGCTTTCATGTCGGCCTGAAGCCAACAAATACAGCAACCCTCAGAGGGCCAGAGGGCAGGTGAGGCAGGGCTGCCCTCTGCCCACGGGCTCAGGGCCCATCTGTGCAGGTCCCCAGGTGCATGCCAGCCACACGCAGCCTGGCCATCAGAGGGGCTGGGGGTGTGGCTCATTCCTGCCCTCCTGCCAGGGACCAGCTTGACAAGATGCAGGACCCCAGGCCTGGTGCCCGGAAGTAGAGTGAAGCTCTGAGGGAATTGGAGCCCAACCTCCTCTCGCCCTGGCCTGCTGTGAACACATCTTTGAGCCCTTTGGCAGGACTGCTGGTCCAGGGTGGCAGGCAACCGGGGACACGCAAACCAACTTTGTTCATCTGGGGTCTGCAGTAGCCAGACTTTTTATGTGTCTAGCTGTGACTTTAACAAAAGTTTATCACCAAGGAAAAGCGGGCAAGAGATTGCGGGTGGCTGTACCTGGAAATGGAGCCAAATGCACCTGTCTTTTTGGCTTCCTCAGGCAAGTTGCTTCAAGTTGTGTCCTCCCTTCACGCTGCAGCCGCTCACTGTGTGCCAGGCACTGTGCCAGGCACCTGGTTGATGACCTCCCACCGCTCATAGAAACCCCCCAGGATAGGTACTATCTCTGTCTTCATCTTACCAATCAGGACAGTAAAGTTCAGAGAGGGCAAGTAGCTAGCCCAAGGTCACACAGTAGTAGTGCCCGGAAGCATGTTGTGCAGCTTTTGATCTGTGCCTCAGCCATTGACACCTATTCCCTGGGACACATAGACTACGTGTTCAGTAAACATCTAAGAAATAAACAAGAGTGTCCTGGAGCCTTGGCCCCTGGCTCTGGTCCCTTTCTGTCTCTCAGGAGCAACAACGGGTGGGTACAGGTTGGCAACCAAAGTACAGCCTGGCTTTGCCTTGCCACATAAGTTGCTTCACCACCCACAAACAGGGAAGTAAGAAAGGCAGGAAGAAACACTTCCCCCAAGGGCTCCTTCTGTCACCTGGCCTTCAATAAGCCTGCCTCACCCTTTTCTTCCTGTCTCAATTACCTTTCTCTCGTTGCTGGGACAAATACTCCACACCCAAAATGAAGGAGGGAACGGTTTATTTAGCTCACAGTTTGTGGAGGTTTCAGTCCATACGCGCATCTGGGCTCCAAGGCAGAGCAGCTCAGGGCAGAGGGGCAGCCGTTCATGGCTGCGGCAAACAGGAGAACAGCAAGAGCAGAAGGGAGGAGCGAGGGTCGGCCAAATAGCTCAGAGGGGACAAGGGGTTCGATCCCAGGGCCTGCCGTGCCAGCCCCAGGAGGCTTTGGCGGGAGGTCAGGGTGGAGGGGAAGTACGGCGTCGAAGCAGAGGGGCCGCAGGGGCTGCGCTCGGCTCCAGATCCCTCGGACGGGGATGTGTAGGGAGCGGCCTCAAGGTCGCAGGAACCAGGCCGATGCCACACCATACCCCCTATTCTGCATCTTGTCTTTCGTTTTTCAGTTTTATTTTTATTATGATTCCATTCATCGCGAGCAATTGGCGCATGTAGGTCGCACATCCGGGAATTGTTGTTATGTCCCTTTCCCTACCCCCTCCCCTCTATTTCTTTTGATATCCATTCCTATTTGCAAAAGATCTGTCTCCCTGTTTCCTAGATCACTCTTTAATTTTGCTCTTTATAAAATTAATTTCTTAATTAATTTTGTAATTAATTAATCTTTTTTTTTTTTTTTTTTGATGGAACCAGGGGTTGAACTCAGACCTTTGTGCTTGTCAGGCAAGCACTTATTCTATTGAGCCATCTCGCTGGCCTGTAATTAATTAATTAAATTAGTTAATTTAATTTCTCTTTAATTTTACACTTTAAGTTTCTCATGTAAGAGAAGCCATGCAGTGTATAAGCTTATCTGTCTGATTTATTCCACTTAACATTATGGTCTCGTGGTGCATCCGCTTTCCTGAAAATGACTCACAGTTATCCTTCTTTATGGCAGAGTAGTACTCCACTGTGTGGAAACACCACATTTTCTTTATCCATTCGTCTGTTGATGCATAGAGGCTACTTCTAAGCTTCTAGGTGACTTCCAGGATTTAGCTGTTATTAATTGCTCCGCTATAAACATGGTTGTGCGTATATCATGTAACATGATATCTTTTACTCATAGGAAGGTACCCAGAAGGGGAATAGCTGGGTTGAGGGGAATTTATATTTCTAGTTTTTTGAGGAGTCTCCCTACTGATTTCCGTAACGATTACACCAGTTTATATTTCCACCAGTGATGTCAGAGGGTTCCTTTCTCCTGGAAACCTCACCAGCATTTGTCTTATTTTGTCAATAGAAAATACAATGGGGTATTTCCTATTTATCAGTGGGGACTGGTCTTGAACTCGCTAGGGAGCCCAGGATGTCCTAGAACTCATGCGTTCCTCATATATCAGCCTTCCAAGCGCCGGATTATAGGCACGCACCACCATTCCTGGCTGTATTCATCCTTTTAAGATGATGCTCCAGTGGTTCCAGATGTTGAGTGTACTAAGCCATGCACACACACGTAACCCTTCATCTAAATGTACTCTAGTTTTTTTGCAGTAGCTAAAAAATAATTGCTGTTTCCTTTGGTTTTGGTTTTGGTTTTGGGTAGTGGTGGTTGAACCCAGGGGCGCTCTACCACTGAGCTCCATCTTCAGCCCTTTTTATTTTTTGTTGTTTTGTTTTGAGACAGGATCTTGTCAAGTTACCCAGGCTGGCCTCGAACTTATAACCCCTCTGCCTCAGCCTCCCTCAGTTCTGGGATACAGATGTGCATCACCATGTCTGGCTAAGACTTGGCATTTTAGGGGCTGGGGAGATGGCTCAGTAGAATAAGTGCTTCCCTGGCAAGCACAAGGGCCTGAGTTCAATCCCCGGTTCAGAAAAAAAAAAAAAAAAAAAAAAGGGGATTTTGACCAAGACATGAAATAGATCCCCCCTTCTCTCAGTGTACAGATGCCTGGGCCCGGGGATTTGGCCAGGGTAGCCCTGTGGGAGGGACCCCACATTTATAGTTTTAATGCTGGTTTGGGGATAATCTCTTGCACCATGTTTAAAATCACTGGCCCGCCAGGACAGTTTGGTTGGAGCTGTCTGGTTGCGGGGATGCCGCCGTAACCCAAGTGCCTGCTGGATAAAGGAGACTTTGGGCCTCTGAACGTGCTGATTGTAGGTCAAGGGTTCCGGGGAGAGGCAGATACTTTGGAGGACACTGTAGGTCACTAAGTCGGTCACTGGTGCTCTCCCTGGCCACGTGGCAGAGGCACCAGACTGCATGGCACAGCACCCTGGTCTCCAGGCAGAACCTCAGGGACTGGAAGCGGGGTGGCTCCGGTGACGCTAACTAACAGGCAGATGGGCTGAGGACCACTGGGGTGGCATCTGGTTAGAGTTCAGGTGGAGAGGTCACCCAGTTGTGTGACCTGGCCAGTTCTTTCATTTCTTTGTGCTTCGGTTTCCCCACTGGCAGGGTGAGGGTCACAACAAGAACTGTCCAACAGCAGGCTGTAGCGAGCCCACACCCAGCACACCTCCTATGCACAGAAGCCCTGCACTGCAGAGCAGCGGGGTGACCCTGATGTTTAGGAAATGACAGCTCCCACGGCCTCTGTCCAGTCATCCTCCCCTAGGGCCCCAGCCCCCACTCTCTCTCCCTCCTAGCAGGGGCTGCTGGAAGCCTCAGGGTTGAACAACTTCCGGCCAAGGCCCTGCAGTATCTCAGTCTGCGGGTACGCAAAAACACTCCCTCCCCTACCTGTGAGGACAAGTTTCTCTAGCAGGAGCCCACAAAGTGCCCCTTGCTTACAAAATCCTGGACCCTGGCTCTGTCCTCCAGCCTTGCTTTGTCTATCTATATTGTCACAGCTACCCATGACAGCTCTGCTTTGTTCTGTAGCCCAGTCAAAGCATCCACACCATGTCACCAAGGCAGGTTGATGAGCCCTGCATTCTCAGGTGGCCGGGCAGGCAAACATGCCCACAACGTGAAACACCCCAGATGCTGCTGCCTTCTTCTAAGCCCAAAGAAGGGCCAAATGAGGCCCATGCCATGTGTGTTTCTGTTGATTTATTAGCCAGTGATTGAAACCCACTTGGATCCACACACAGAATACACGCAGAGCTGACACACGTCTTGAGGAAACCAAGTTCTTGCCCACCCTCTGCACTTAGAGTGGGCTCATTCCCAAGGCTGTCCCCTCTAGAGCTGTCCCAGGGCTCCGCAGTATGGCAGGATGTCAACAGAAGGCTGAGGGCCGTGTCCCTCCGGCTCTCCCTTCCTGCACAGGGTGGCCAGCAGGGTCAGCACTGTGTGATGTAAGAGACACCTTTTGTCCTTGGACCCAGGCCTCCAAGTCTCCAACATCACCAGATACTCTCACCGCCAAGAAATTCCAGGAGCGTTTTGGCCAAAGCCAGCATTCTGAACATCAAAGGTGGGAGGTTTATAAGGTTAAGACACAACTACCATTCCATCTGCACCCATCTAGGGGCATCTACCATGTGAAGGCTCAGGCAGGGAGGGACGGAACTACGTGGAGTGGGATTGACGGCTCCACTTTGACTGAAATGGACTGGCAGCTCCGTCCTGTCCTGTGTGGAGTGGTGCGATTCTAGCATTGTCCTCATGCGGGGCAGGAGGCAACCAGGCCAAAGCAGATTCCTCTGTGACCTTGCACAGGACAAGAGGGCTAACACGATGGATGTTTCTAGACTCCAAAGTGACCGTGGTGTCAAACAGAAGGTTTGGGGGGCTGAGAAAGGGGATGGGGGGGAGTCTGAATGGGTTGTATTGATCCATATGGGAGGACACAAGAAACAAGGTCATTTATGGGAGGCCAAGAGGATTCATGGAGGGGAACCAAATGGCTTGCAGGTGGCGCATAGACCCTTTAGGGAAGAGGCTCCTCAGGGGACAGTCACCCTCAGCATTCTGTCTGGAACCTGGGGGGGGGGGTGTCTCTGGAAGCTCACTGTTCAGAAACCAGCCTCTGATGCCCCACATCAGAGGGAAGAAGTGGGCAGGAGCTGGCTCAGGGCACCATGTTCCACCACTTGAAGTCAAAGGGCTTCCGGCGCACGTTGGTGCCACAGTGCACCTCCCCGTGCAGCATGTGGTACGGGGTGAAGTCATCGATGAAGGTGCAGTGGAGGCCCAGCGGCTCCAGAAGCGAGCGCACCTTCTCCTCCAGGCAGCAGCGGCCGTTGATGATGGGCCCAAAGGGCTTGGGGATGCCCAGGTACTTCCCCAGCACCAGCATGTTCACCTGCAGGGAAGTGAGGGGCTCAGCTCTTCCCCGTCAGTGTCCTCACACACATACCTGCATGTCCTCTGCCCTGAGCCTGCCTTTCAGGCAGCCTTGAAGATAGCTCCTTGTTCCTGTGCAGCGGAAGCGAATGGGGCTAGTAGAAGCCCTTAGCCAGGTGCCTGCACACGCTCTGCAGGTGGCTTTCTCAATACCTGCTTCCCTACTGTGGAGCTCGCTGTGTTTGTGCTATGGAACCCCAACCCTTAATATAGATGATTGGACCAGCGCAGGTGTCTGACCAAAGATGGACCCATCAGACTCCACTCCAGGGCTTCGGGGCTGACATCAGGAAAGGCCCAGTCTCTGCCTGTGCATGAACTACACGGTGCACGGCCACCCTCACCTCTGTCTCCAGGGGAGGGCAGCAAAGGAGGCAAGGCGGAGGAAAGGAAGAAGAGTAGAAAGGAGACAGAATTGTGTAGACACAGAAACAGGCTCCTGTTCGGCCCCGTGGATGCTCTGCTACACCTGTCCTGGCCCTCAGGATTCAAGTCCTCGTGTCAAGTCCTCCTCCAGACGAAGCCAGCTTGGGTGGCTTCTGTTTGTTGTCTACACAAGAACCTGAACCATTGCCCAAGCTTCCGGGAGCAAGGCGCGGTTACAGGGCCACAGGAAGGAAGCACACAGGAAGGAAGTGGGTGAGGGAGGAGGCTGAGCCAGGGAGAGCGCAAGGCAGAAAGAAAAGGGGGGATGAAGCAACAGCAGTGTGGACAGAGATGCTGTGAGTGCCTCTGTAGAGTGGGGGAGGGGAGGAAAAGGGGGGGAGGAGGGGAGGTTGACCCAAAGACAGTGCAATGGGGTGCTTGTTCAGACAGGCAGCAGTACCCCTGCGACCCCAGGAACAAAGCCCTAAGGCCCCATCAAAGGCCATTCCCACCCCCACCCCCCTCTGCACTCCCAGTCAAGGGGTACTCTGTCCCACAGCCAAAGTGTCACATGCTTTATTGCATGGAATAGGTGTCAAGGACATGTCCTCAGGCAGGTGAGGTGAGGACAGCGTCCCCCTGAGCAGGTAAGAGTGAAGCTTCCAGAGGGCAGCCCCCCCCTCCCCCCCGCACCGTGCCTCCCACAGCACACCTGGTTTATGTGGGGTGAAGAGTAGCTGTGAGCCAGGGGGACAAAAGTCAAGCCCAATGGGCCCCTTGAGGTCCAAGGTGCCACATGCTTTGTACACCTGTCCTCACACGATCATTCATTCACTCCTTGAATGTCACGTGGGTCCCTCCCCCAAAGGCTCCTGAGTCAGAGGCTGGCCAGCTGCAGGGACTGTGGAGACCAGCCCTGGAAGTCATGATGTCAGCTTGGGTACGAGGGGACCCTGATCCTTCTCACCACTCTCTCCAGCTATCTAACCATGACCGCAACCAACGTCTCCCCTTACCCCCAGCACTGGAGGCTTGGAGCCTCATCTAAGGAAGCCCAGTTCCCAGGGGGGCCTCACCAAGTCAGGGAAGAAGGCCATCGCCTTTTTCTGCTCAGACTTGAAGAGCTGGGGGACGTCGATGATGTCGTGATCTGCCAGGCCCAGCTCCCGCTTTAGCACCTCACGGTTCCAGTCAATGCAGCTCTTGGGGAGGGAAAGGCCAAGTTGGGGAGACCTAGCCAGTGTGTGTTGAGGACACCAAGGTGTCACATATGGTTGAGGGACAGGGTGCCTGAGTAGCCACACATTGGCCGCAGAACTTTACCTTTACCCCCTTTGGTCAAAATGTCTGTGTTCTGTATCCTACCACATACATCCTGTCTTTCTAGTTGGACTAAAACTAAGAATGTTCTAGAATGTTCCATCTTCAACCTTTTCTTCTACATCTCCACTCCTTAACAGATCTCATTCAGTCTTGTGGTTTAAAATACCATCTTGGGCCGGCCAGATAGCTCAGTGTACTAAAGCGCCTGTTTAGGTAGAGTGCAGTGGCCAGGGGTTCAATCCTGGCCTACCATGCCATCCCTGCTCCCAGGGTGTGCTGAGACAGTGATTGAGACTGGGCATGGTGGTGCACACCTGTAATCCCAGCACTTGGGAGGCGGAAAACAGGAAGATCACTATGAGCCCGATCTGTGTAGTGAGACCCTGTAAACCCTGTACTAAATACATTTTAAAAAATAAATAAATAAAATAAAACACCATCTCTACACTGGCGACACCCACCTCTCTACCTCACCACTCCTCTACAAACCCCTGTCTTTTTCCTGAGCTCTGGCTGACTTGTGCCATCACCCACTTTGCCTCTCTGTTGGACGCCTAATAGCACACGATGGGGTCAGAGATGAACTCCCCATTTCTAGCCTCAAATGTGCTTCCCCAACAAAGTTCTTCAGCTCTGTGGGTGTCGCCATACCTGGCCAGTTGCCCTAAGCCCCACCGTCACTCCCTGTATCTCCCTCTCTCTCGCTCCATCTCCAGTTCCACAGCATGTCCTGTGGGCACTGCCTCCGTGACCCATCCCCGACCAGCCCCCTTTCCACCACCTCTGCTGTGCCCAGCTGTTCGGAAGGCTGCCCTTCCAGCTTGGCCTCCTTCCACCCCCTTTGCCAGTGCCCTCTGACTGGTCTCTTGCTATTTCGCCTCTTGCCCACAGGGTGGCCTTCGTAATGTCCCTCATAGACATCCAACTCCAGGACTCTGAATCCCCTCCCTACATGTGAGGTCACATCTCTGGCAGCTGGTGACAGCCATTGCCACCTGTTCCTTGCTGTCCCACCCCAGCCCACTTTGCACTCGGCCCACAGCCTTTGTACCTGCACAAACTTATTAAAACTGATGAGGTTTCTGTTGGAAAGGACCTGGTCGATGGAGATGGTTCTGGCCCGCTTGTCACCTGGGAAGGACAGAGAGACACAGAGGTGCAAGAAGGGACCCAAGTTGGGCAGAAGTAGACGGCAGAGGCCAAGCTCACAGCCACTGTCTGGATGGGGTGGGCAGTGGCTGCAGAGCTGGGCATGGCCACAGAGCAGGGCTGGAGTAGGGTCATGGGAAGGTCATACTACAGTGGCTTAGAGTTCAAGTAGGGGCTCATGCCCTTACCTGGAAATTAATTAAATGTCACCCTGAGGCGCTGAGTGATCATCATTTTCCTTCAGGTGCTGTCTGTTCCTCGGCCCCAGGGCCAGCCTTTATGGGTTCCCCAAGCACTGGAACAGCCAGTCCCGGGAGTCCCACACCAGCACGCCCTGGCCTGCCCTGTGGGAGGTGACCATGTGGCCGAGCGGCCCCCACAGGCCCAGGCTTCTGCCTGCCTGGCGGTGCCCATGGAGATGGGGCTCTGCGTTCAGCCTCTCACCTAACCTCACCCCAGCGGTGTGCATCATCACCCTCACTTTACAGATGAGGAAACTGAGGTTCAGAGAGGTCAGGTGACTTGTCCGAGGGAATGCAGCACGGATGGGAGGGGTGCCAGGAGCCAAGCGCTCACAAAGGGACGCCAGTTTGACTAAGGGAAAGGAGAGGGTGTGTGGCCTGACATAGTGACTGTCCCAGCCGGGCAGGATGGCCGTGAAATAGGTTCTGCTCAGCCTCTGTGAGGCCTTGCTCAAGTGAGCCTGGCTGTCCCAGGAAAGCACAGGGGTCGTCCCTTCTCTAGCCACCGACTGGCTTCCTTAAATCTGGGTTTGAGGTGTTTAAGCTTTAGCTTGGGTACAAAGGAATCTGGAGGTGGTCCCTGTAGGAGCAGGAAGTGCAATCTGCTGTGTCATTGCTGGGTGACATTAACAAACAGAGAGCGGGAGCCCTGGACCATAGACTTTGAAGCTTCTAAATTTCTCTCTCAGGTAGGTTTGATTCTCACGGGGGAGGGGTGACAGGACTATCAAAACCGAGGGTCCCTCTGGCGAAAGACTCCCAGAATCCCAGCTCAAAGGAAGGGCCCTGAGACTCACCTCTCCTGGAGAGAGAGGGGCCAGACCAGCCCTGCCCACTGCAGCCCAGCCAGCCCTGCCCTTCCCAGTTGCTCTAGCGCAAAGCAAAACCACCCACCCCTCTCCTTGCTCAAAAAGCAGGGGAAAATGATCATTAAAATACTATGGGCTTGGGGCTGGTGAGATGGCTCAGTGGTCTAAAGCACCTACTTAGAACAAACTAAGCTAAGCAAAGCACAGGGACCACGGTTCAATCCCCCAGCACCACATGCCAGCCAGCCCCGCCCCCTGGTGGGCTGAGCTGGCCACACACACACACACACACACAATAAATAAATAAATAATTAATTAATTAAAAAAATATTATGGGCTTCCTCGATACAATCGAATTATCAAAACTAAATCAAGAAGATAGGCCGGGGAGATGGCTCAGTAGGATAAGCGCTTGACTGGCAAATGGAAGGATCTGAGTTCAATCCCCGGTCCCACAAAAAATCAATCAATCAATCAATCAATCAATCAAGAAGATAGGAAAAGGGTCTGGAGAGATGGCTCAGTGGTCTAAAGCACCTACTTGGAACAAGCTTGGCAAAGCACAGGGACTGCAGTTCAATCCCCCAGCACCACATGCCAGCTAGCCCCACCCCCTGGTGGGCGGAGCTGGCCACACACACACATACACACACACAATAAATAAATGTAAAAATAAATAAATAAACAAAAAAAGTTAAAAAAAAAAGAAGATAGGAAAAATTCTAAATGACCCAATAATGGCCAATGAAATTGAAAGTGTAATTAAAAATTGACCAACAAAATACTACAGGATGGGAAACAACTCAAAGGTAGGGGCTTTCCTGGCACCAGTGAGGAACGGGAGTCTACCCACAGCACTGATTTTTTAAAAAATCACTAAAATATAAAGCTGTTCCTTTGTTTCCTCCCTCTACCTGTCATGGTGTTAATCTGCTGGCTGAGGTGGTGCCCTCGGCGGAGGGGCAGGGTGGGGCAGGGTGGGCCCTGTGGAGCAGGCTGCCTGGCCCTAACTGGTACATGGGTGCAGCCCAGCGCTGCCCCCCAGAGCAGACCCATGTGCTGTGCCAGCTTGGGGGGTGTCATGTTGAGCCATCACCTCCCGTCCCCACAATCCCGCCACCCCAAGCCACCACTAACAAGTGATCTTTGTACTGGCACAGCCTCCTTGCTAGGGCTGTGCTGGTGAGGGGTCACTCCGGACCAACTGTCCACCTACTAGGCAGGGACAGCTGGTGCCAGGCCTCTCCTAAGACACCCAGTGGCTTGTGTGCCCAGCCTGCCCCCTGCCCGGCTGCCACTGGGGGTAGAGGGTGGCAGGATCATTGTTACAATTTTGAGACAATGACTGTAGCACATGAAATCCCAAACTCCAGGCCTTCTGGACAGAGGGCCTGGTATGATGGGACTGTCACAGCTGGCTCTGTCCCCACTTTCTCCATGCCCACCCAAGTTTAGGGTCCCACCCTGCTCCTGCCCCACTCAGCCCAACCAAAGGCAGTGGTGACTGGTAAGATGGGGTGTGGGATTCTGGGGCTATCTCTTGCCAAAGCCATGAGGCATCTTTATTTTGGGGAGAGAATGGCAAGCTGCCTCAGGGCCGCAGCACTGTTACCCACCAACAACTCCCTGGAAGAGGAGGGCCCTGCCATGGCCCCACTTTTGCTTCTCCTGGAAGAGCCGGAAGCAGGCGGCAGGACTGGCCAGGAGCATCCGGAAGCCCTGTGTGCAGAGATCAGAGCAGCTGAGTCCTGGGGCCTGCCTAGCTGGCCAAGCTCAGCCCCATCCTAGACACTGGGATAGGTATGTCCCTAGGCCCTCACCTTCCCATCCTGGGCAGGGACAAAGCTCAGGAACTCATCCACATGGCCCACGGCCAGCCAGTCCACGAAGAGCTCCACGGGTGGCTGCACCTTCTGGGCATGGAGGAAGTTCCGTACCACCTGTGTGACCCTGCGGCCCTTTGACCTGGCCCAAAGGGAGGAAAAGGCATTTAGCTAAGAAAAACTCCATGCAGACATGGAGTGACAAGAGGTCACGGTCCCTGTGATATCTGGCTACATAAAAATGCACAGCTTTTGTAAGCAGGAAAGACTAGAAATGTCTGTTCTAAATTCCACTTAGGAGGGCTGAGGAGATAGCTCAGCAGGATAAGCGTCTGCCTGGCAAGTGCCAGGACTGGGATTTGCTCCCTGGTACCACATGCCACACTGGCCCTAGAACCTTGGATGTGCCATGCTGGCCACTGAAACTGGGCATGGTGGTACACGACTGTAATCCCAGCACTGGGGAGGCTGAGACAGGAGGATCACTACCAGTCTGAGCTGCATAGTGAGATCCTGTACCAAATAAATAAGTAAATAAAAAGATTAAAAAATAATAAATTCCACTCAGGAGAGCTCTGGATGAGGCAGACTAGGGACAGGTGGGTCACAGGAAGGCAATGGCCCAGGAGGTCCTCGGTATGGGGATTGAACTCAGAACCTTGCACTTGCCAGGCAAGCACTTATTCTGCTAAGCTATCTCCCCGGCTGTTTTTGCCTTCTGAGAAAGAATCTAGTAGCTTGGATGGCCCTAGTGTCCTCTTGCTGGGGATCATATGCTTGGGCAGGTTCCCTCTGAGCCTTAGTCCACTATTTAAGCCCAAGTCTGTTCTTACTGCTTTTTTTTTTAAAAATTATTTATTTATTTATTTATGTGTGTGGCCAGCTCAGCCCACCAGGGGGCGGGGCTGGCTAGCATGTGGGGCTGGGGGATTGAACCGTGGTCCATGTGCTTTGCTAAGCTTGTTTTTTTTGCGGAACCAGGGATTGAACTCAGGCCCTTACGCTTGACAGGGAAGGGCTTATTCCACTGAGCCATATCTCTAGCCCAGGAAGTCCTGTTTTTTTTAAATTTGTGTGTGTGTGTGTGTGTGTGTGTGTGTGTGTGTGTGGTCAGCTCAGCCCACCAGGGGGCGGGGCTGGCTAGCATGTGGTGCTGGGGGATTGAACCGTGGTCCATGTGCTTTGCTAAGCTTGTTTGTTCTAAGTAGGTGCTTTAGACCACTGAGCCATCTCACCAGCCCTGTTCTTACTGCTTTGCCAAACTGTGGCTGAATGTGTTGGCATATCCCGCAGCACCGCGGAGATAGTGTTTTCTCATTTCCCACGGCACTCCCGTGGCCCGTGTCAGGTAATACAGAACCAATCTCTCTTGCTCTCTCTCTTTCTCCTTCTCTCTCATCTGTTTCTCTTCTCTTTCCCTCTTCTTTCCTCTCCCCCCATCTTCTCACTTTTATATCTCCATTTCTGCTGTCAATGGGGCCGGGGAGATGGTTCAGTGGAATAAGCGCTTCCTTGGCAAGTGCAAGGGCCTGAGTTCAATCCCTGGTTCCGCAAAAAAAAAAAAAAAAAAAAAAGCCATTTCTGCTGTCAAGTAAAGATCCAATATTAGTCATTTATGTCATAGTATGAACAAGCTTTGACTTAAATGCTTTTTTTTTTTTTTTAGGGCTGTTGGGCAAAGAAATGTCCTCCTGTTATTATTAACTGACAGGCTCTGTCATCAGCATCTTCTGTTTATTTCAGAATCAGAAGACCTGAGTTGAGTCACCAGTGTGCTTTGTCTGTGTGACTCTCGGCCCACTTATACAGTGACAGGGCTGGACAGGAGAATCTCATAGGCCCTGCTTCCTCTTGCTTTCTCAGGCTTCTGGGCATAGACGTCTCACATGCAAGCCATCACCCACCACACCCAGCACTACAGCGATGTGGCTTTGTTCTGCTTTTCCTCTGGGGATGGATGCCCCGCTCACCACTACCCTGCCTCCTCCCGGAAGCCCTCCCTGTGCCCTCTTACCCAGGCAGGTTGCCCCCGATGAGGATCCGCCCCAGGGGGTACTCCTTCCCATTGGCCACCACTGGGGGGCTGACCTCTAGGTTCCCGAAGGAGTCCAGGCCGCTCACGGACTTGTCCCGTGGTTCCCGAGTCACGTAGCCAAAATCTATACCCTGGAGAGGTGGCAGCTGAGTTAGGGGGAGTGGGCATCAGGAAGAGCTTAAGCCAACTTATTGGGCTCTGAGCTCCTAAGAGGTGGGATGGGAGTAGCCACCTGTTCTCCAGATGGAGAAACTGAGTCTCAGATGGACCTGACCCAGGCACCGACTGTCGCCAAAGTTTGGAGACTCTCAGGCCCTGTGACTTGCTGTCCTGACAGCCCGGGTCATTTCCTAGTTCCAGAGACAGAAGGAGGACTCAGTAGTGCTGTAGCCCCTTCAGACACTCTGAAATAGCTGCTCTGGGGACTAGAGGCTGGGGACAGCCCACTCAGCCTCAGGCTCTCCAGGGCATCTCTCAGAGGGATGCGAGAGACACTATAATAAAGCACGGTTATTCTGTTCCCAATCCCTACGTCACCCTGCCTTCCCCCATTTAGGGCTGCCAGAGGTGATTAAATAAAACTACAGGATACTCCTTGAAATTAATATGCCCTGTTTTGTATAAGTCTAACCCATGCAATGTTTGGGACATACTTTTAGCAAAAAGTTATTCATTGCTTTTTGAAATTCAAATTTAACTGAGCATCACCTGCATTGTACCTGGCAGCCTACCTCCCACCCCTAAAAACAGGCTCCCAGTTCTGTTCCCTGGGCTCCTCCCCTCCAGCATGGCCTTGGGGTGATGGCTCCAGGGTCCCCGGGCTGGGCCCCAGTAGCAATCACTTACCAGGATCCTTTTGTAAGGGAATTCCTGCAGCTCCCCGTTCCTTGGGGAGTCGAAGACCACAGGGAAGGTCTTGTGTGGCGCCTCAACGTAACCCAGCTCCATCTCGTCCTATCAAGAAGGGAGAAATTCCTGCTGTAGACAGCCATAGCTCCCTGCCTGCATGGTGCCAGCCCCCCCTGAGGAAGGCTGCACCCCTGATTCTCCATCTTGGGCCTGTTTGCCCTTGGAGGTGGGGAGCACAGAGGTCAGAATGCCTGCTGCCTGGAGGCTCAGAGAGGGGATGCATTTGACTGTGGCCGCAGAGCAGGACAGTGAATGAGAACACTGATGTGATCTTGGGGTGTCCTTGTGCTGGACCAGATAGGGTGGATGCAGAGAGGGCCTCGAGGTGGACCCTGGGCCATCGCCAGCCCTTTTGATCTCCATGCTGTGTCACGAAGAGTTGGCAGCTGGTCAGAGCTGAGGGGACCCAGATCACCCTCCTTAGACCTGTGAAGCCCAGCTCAGACCTGCCTGCACCACGAGCTAAGTCTCCAAAGGAAACCATGCTAGTGTGCGCCCAGCCAGCCCTAAACCTTTGTCACCACCAGCTCCGCTAAACCTCATGGCTGACTGTGCCAAGATGTGGTTGCTGTCCAGGTGACAGAAAAAGAAAGGGGGTTCAGAGAGGGCCAGTTGTCTGTCCAAAGCACACAGATAGTCAGGGTGGCTGAGCAGGAGGATCACGGGCTCAAGCCCAGCCTGGGCAACTTAGTGACTTCGCAAAACACTGTTCCAAAATAAAAAATAAAAGGCCTGGGTCTGTCGCTCAGTGAAAGCCTGGATTCAGTCCACAGTACTGCTGACAATGTATAAAAGTATGTCCAAATACTGCCAATTTCACTTGGGGAAAAAACTGCCTCCTTGGGGCCGGGGAGATGGCTCAGTGGAATAAGCACTTCCCTAGCAAGCGCAAGGGCCTGAGTTCAATCCCTGACTCTAGGGGGAAAAAATTGCCTCCTACTCAGCCATTGAGGGCAGGGTGCTTGTGCCCAGCACCTCAGCCAACCCTTCAGGCCCACCTCAGTTCCTGGCTCAGATCTGGCAGGCAGTGGGTGTTGACCCCAGCGACGGTGTGTACCTAGGTCTCCAGAGACTTCAGGAGTGTAGCTCTAGGTCTTGAACCAGAAAGAGGAGCAAGAATCCTGGCAAGGCGGGTAAGACTCCCTGCAGCCCAGTGGCTTGGTGGCTGTGGTTACCTGGATCCAGCGGTCATTGCGGTTCTCCGTCTGCGGACAGATGGTCAACTTGCAGCCTGCCCGACTCGCCAGCTCCGCCACGGCTTCCACGAAACGCGTGTTGTTCCTCACACTGGGGACAAGCCAAGGAGAGTGGCTCAGAGCTGGGGCCTGGGGACTGAAGGGGCCAGCAGGACAAGGACCTCTACCCGCCCACCCCAGACTCACCGGCACACGTATACCTCCTGGGGCTGCAGGGTGCTGGGCGTCATGATCCAAGGAGCCACCCGGAACACCACAGTGTCAGTGAAGATCGGGGTCTCAGAGAAGTCCTGTAGGGGGAACAGGACTCTTCTACCACCATGGTCCTTAAGAAAGCCCCTGGTGGGGCTGGCAAGAGAGCTCAGTGGACTAAAGCACTTGGTTAGGCAAGCTTAGGCAACCGCAGGGAACGCGCATCAATCCCCGGCACCGCCTGTCGTGCTAGCCCCGTCCCCGGGGTGGGCTGAGCCAGCCAGAGTCCAGCGAAGCGGCACATCCCCTGCAATCCCAGCGCTGGGGAGGCTGAAAG